CCTTGCAGCCGCAGCTCCGTGATCCTTGGCCCTGGCAAGTTGCTTGCGAGTCATTCCGGCTGCAGAGCTCCAAGGACTGGAAGTCCACAGCACAGTAGGCTCTTCCTTGGCCAGTCACATTGTTCAACATAACACACGTGCAGTCAGCTGAAGAACCATGAAGCCATGAAGCCGAAGACTTGTCAGATCTTCTGCATGTTTCATGTTCTAAATCGTGCTTGAAGGCAGACTGGTGTGCGGAGAGGCGCTGCTTTGAAGACTCATTCAAGCAACCCTCATTTAGTTGCGATTGCACAGCGTGTACCGGAAACCCAGGGTACAAAGCCCAGGGTAGGATCAAGCTTGCGTGTGCATCAAAAGAAGGTGTCAAACTTATGCCTTGAGTCTTCGCATCCTTGTAGGTCGTGCCCTGCCTGACAGGTTTGGTGTGAGAATTATGGAGACCACCTCAATGCGTTCAAGACTCTCAGATGCTGCAGTACAATTTCAAGGACTTGTACTGGAATTCACAACAGAGCTCGACTTGCATTTTGACAACTCAACCCCTGTGAGCCAAGGAAAACGCATGAGACCGCCGGCAGCGTCACAGAATTTGATCTTTCCTTGGACAATATGAGCTTCAGATTTGGTGCCATGGCCCTGCAAACTGTATATCGTTGTCCTTTCCGCACGTCTCGCTTGCATCTTCCAGCAATCGTCAAGGCGATGAGTGGCCACTTGAGGGCTGGCACTACTTCTGGCTAATGCAGGCGTGATTTGGGCAGCTTGGATTTGGCAAAGACTGAAAAACTGTCTCAGCACAGCTTCGTCTAGTCATGAATGCAGGGCAGGTGACTTCGGTTTCTGATTACGAACGGCAGCAAAGGTTCAGTTTGGCTTACATGTCTTCAAAGAACACGCATACTCGCCTCGGTAACACGACGATGTCGGGGCTTGCAGTCTCCTCGGCTAGACTTGGTTGTTTCCCAGCAGAGGGGCACCCCAATAGAGACCCAAATATATTATATCACTTGTTCTGGTGACCCCCCAAATAAGTACCCCTAATTTTGGGAAACCCTGCACCCTAAACCCTATATCGCGACCTAGTCAGCGAAGCGGGTGGGAAAAAACCCTATATCACATGCTCCCTATATATCCTTATCTAACCCCTATAACCCCTTTCAGTGGTACCCCTTAATTTTGGGAAGCGCCCCTTTGAGTCCGCCTATCATGCTGAGACGTGGCACACGCGATGTGCAGAAGATGACCCTGCATGTGTTAGAACTTACTAGTGCTTAGTGGGGAATAAGTGATCATATTATATTGGGCTTGTATATGGATTTTATTCTTTTTTCCCGTCTAAGCACAGGTACGAGAATGAGAACATGAGCACGAAGACCCCCGTGCAAGATTTCATTTTTCCTGCTGTTGCAAAACGGAATCCAACAAGAGTCAGGGCGCAACCACGCGGAGGCGCACCCGACACTCCCCCTTCACCGTACGCCGTACAGCTTTGTTTCTTACAGGGGTTAGCAAGGAATAAGGGAACATTATCTTGGCATTTGCGACTATATTCCTTACTAGCCCTCAGTTGCTTTTTTTCAATATGACGCTTTTTCGAGTTTTTATCGGAGAGGGGGCTATCCTGAACCCCAGACCCTCGAAGGTTCACAAACCCTCAACTCCTGAACCCTGTCGATTCGCTCAGGCTATGCAATCGGCCTTGTCTAGCTGGGATTCGCGTGGTGCAACGCAGTGGCCTCGACCTGGCTCCGTCGGCTTGCAGAGTCGCGGCATACATATATGGGCTCCCACCCCAATCCAGACGAGAGTTTCAGTTCGGGGCTTCGGCTGCAAACTCTGCGCATGGCCCTAAACCCGAAAGCGAGGCTGAAGAGCCGATCTGGGCTTGTGTAGCGACAGAAACTGTAAGGTTTTGGGGCTTTGGGATTTAAGGGACTTTAGGGCTCGGGAGGTTAAAATGTAAAGGGTTGTCAGTAGTCAGTAGTTCTTAGCCTGAGACTTACTCAGGATTCGGTAAGCCTAGCGGCATCTCAGGCTTTAGTCGATTCTGAGAAGTACGATGGCCGGCTTAGGCAAGGAATCCTTACTATGTAGCTGTGTAGGAAGCAACTTCGAAAAGTAAACCCTTGGAATCTGCAAAGGCCTGGAAGGCTGTCATTTCCGTGTGCAATAAAGGGGCCTGTCTGAAGCTACAAGTCCAGAACTCAAAGCCTTGTAAGCCTTCAACCCCACATTGAAGAAAACATGAACCCGTAACATTCAGCTGCGGATTAGGGTTTAGGGTTTAGGGACTTCCAGGACGATCGCCTCGAATCCTTGCAGAACTGTGTAGAACGCATGGACACCTTCGAAGCGCGACACCTCGTGAGCCCCAAACCCTGAACCCATAGGCCTGTTAACTCCCCCATCCAGCACATGGGGAACTCGAAGCCTAACTTACTGTTGATGATCTGAATCCTGCATTACCCATAAAAAGGACTATATTTCCCATAGTCAGGGTCCTTTATTTAAGGTAATGCAGGATTTATACCATCAACAGTATGTCAGGGAACCCCAAGAAATACCATCACTACTCATCCTGTCAGACCCCTAAATGAACACAACCCAACATTTGCCCCAGGACCGCTGTTGTAAAACTTTCATAGGCGGCCTGTTAAGGACCTTTCAGACATGCAAAGCCAACAGCGTATCCAAAACCCTGAATCCAAACCCCAAACCCTGAATCTTTTAAGCCGCTCTTTCTGGAACCCTTGTTGGAAGCAACCCTCAACTGCCGAACGCCTGAATCCTATAGTGCCCTTTGCAATGAAGGGCATGGGAACCTCCGACTCGCTACTCATCAACTTTATGGTCCTGGCTAAAGATGATATGATGGAGGTCCGGTGCTGTGGATCAAACAACCGGCCAAATGGCATGGAAACTAGCTCCCGATATTGAGCACCCACAAACCCTATACACAAAATCTTGCGCACTCCCTATGTGCCTCCTGATGTCCTACTGGAGGTCCGGAAGCACTTCCACGGGCAAAATGGGCAGATGCTGGAGGAGTGGATCGAGTCGGAATGCACAGGTGATTATAAGGAAACTCTGATGATGCTACTGGGCGCTTACCAGAAGTATGTTGTCTAGTGGCATAGTATCGGTGCAATCTTTAGCTGGATAAGGCAAATAGCCTCAGCAATCCTTCTCATCCGTCGAACCCCTACCGTCCCTGTCAAAGTGGAACTTCCATACGAAAAGTCTCCTGGATCCCTTTGGCGCGGGAGCTGTGAGCCAAGTCCAGGCTAGCTGGGCGAAACAGCGAGGAGACCATAAGCATCGCCCCAGTCTACTGGGCGCAACGCTGCAAGGATGCCCTTTTCAGCGTCGAGACTTTGAAGGAGGTACTTCGAAGATGGGAATGCCTCGGATGATTAGATCCGTCAATAGGGCGCAAGGCGTTGCTAGTGGTCCTCCTCCACTTCGTGCTCGAGCTGGCTCCGGTCCACCTCCGCTGCGCCCACGCCTGATACCGTCTCGCAGTTCCCAGCCTCGTGAAGGTCATGGCCACTCTCACTCTCACTCGCGCAGTGCCCCCCGCACACGGGACGCCATGGCCGTACCTTCCAACCCAGGACTGGCGCCCGCCCAATGGTGGGCCCGCTATCCGTAGCCGTAGCCTTGACACTCCAAAACAGCCAGCCCCACTCACCACATTTCGGTCAACCATCGGGACGGCTTCTATCCCCGAAGGCAAGACCAAGCAGAAGCAGGGGCATTTTCCCGGGAACTCTCTTTTCGTTTGCGCCAAGGCCTAGACCCTAAACCCTAAACCCTAAACCCTAAAGCCGAAAGCCAGTAGGTTTTTTGTGGGTGAAGCAGGGAGCCAACCCTGAAACCCAAACCTTAAACCCGGCATCCTACAAACACCACCCAAAAAAGAAAGAGGTAGGTTTAGGGTTTTGGGTTTTGGGTTTCGGGTTCAGGGTTTAGGGTAGAGTTGCGCAGAGATGCCCGAACCTTTAACCCCCAACTCGATGCCCAAACCCGGCAAACGCCTGGACACGTTCAGGCCGAAACCCCACGAATCTTCAAAAATTTCGAAAGCTTCAGACCCTTAGCCCCCAACCCTAAGCCTCGAACCCTAAACCCTAAACGTTTACCCCTATGCCCTAAACACTAAACCCAAAACCCTAAACCCAACCCCAAATCCTCACCCAAAACCCTACAGACACTAAACCCTGGACCCCAAACCCATCCACTTTAAACCCAAAGCCCTATAAGCCAAACTCCTTAAAGACGCAGCCCTAGATCAAAAACCCAAAATACGCCTTTCTTCCAAAAAAAGGACCCCCCCCAAAAAAAAAAAATAAATAAATAAAAACATATATATATATATATATACTTTTCCAAAGAAACGAAGGTTTAGTAGGAATTTCCTAATATCTCCCTAGGTCTGGGGTCCCCTTCTTTAAAGAAACACCCAAATGGAAGTAAGATGCAGAAGCCCTAAACCCTAAACCCTAAACCCTATGCCAAGCCCCCAGCCTTGAATCCTAACAAGGAAGAAGAGAAAGTGAAACAAAAACCCTAAACCCTAAACCCTACACTTAGAACCCCTAAAAACCGAACCCTATACCTGAAACCCTATCCCCTGATCCCCTGATTCCGCAGGCCTAGCTGACCGGGAACCTTCAGGAGTCGATCACGACGGATGCATAAAGGCCAGGCGTGGGGTCTTAGGGGTTTAGGGTTTAGGGTTATAAGTTTAAACTTAAAGCAAGCGTGATTCCAATCTAAAACTAAAGTAGACTTTTGCTGAAACAAGCTGTATGAAGTTTAAAACTAAGCCACAATTTAGCGCATGTCTCCTGTTTGACCCTTAACCCTAAACCTGTTCTAGAACTACAATTTAGCGCATGTCCCCTGTTGACCCTAACCCTAAACCCTAAAACCTAAACCTCGCTGTGAGCATAGTTCTCTGCAATGCGAGAGGGAAAAAACCTAAACCCTAAACCCTAACCCGCAAACCCTAGAGCTTTATACAATGTCCAAGCTATAACGTAGGTTGCAGGTTTGAAAGGAGTTTGAAGTAGGTTTACAGGGGCTTAGGGTTGAGGCGTAGGGTTTGGGGTTTAGGACTTCAGGGGTTTTGGGCTTCAGGGGTTTAGGGTTTAGGGTTTAGGGCTTCAGGGCTTCAGGGGTTTCGGGTTTCAGGGCTTCAGGGTTTAGGATTTTTTGGGGTCGAGGGGTTTGCGGTCTAAGCCTTTGGATGTTTTAAAGGGATTTCAGAGCCTGAGCCCTAAACCCTAAACCCATAAACCCCTAACCCCTAAACGTGCCTTAGACCCTAGATGCACAACCTTAGGGTTGAAGGGTTTCGGTTTTGGGT